TCTCCGGAAGTTGTTTTCCACTCCTCAGCTCCACTGCATTGATATATTCCCGAGGGTTCATCTCGTTCTTACCGGGGAGCATGCCTTGCTGTCTTAATGAGAAGGAAGATGCAAGTTGAGCCACTTAATTGTCCAAGATCTTCAAGTGAGCTTGTACTCCTTCCAATTGTTTCTTGAATACAACTTGTTCATTCTCAATGCTCCCAATGGACACTCCTTGCGATTTTTGAACTTGAAGGATTTGCATAAGCATGTCCTTAATGTCCGGGTCTTGCTCCTTAGGTTGCACTTGCTGTGGCCTATAATTGGAATTCCCTTGATAACCTTGACTCCCTTGGCCTTGTTGAATGTTACAGAAAATATATCATTCCCTGGAGAGAATGTTATATTTTATAATAACCGAGGACGTGGTTATTTTCGAGGTAGAGGCCGAGGTCGAGGTCGAGGCCGAGGACGAGGTCGTGGTGTTAGCCGAAGTTGGAATAGAGGAGGTGGTCGAGGAATCTCATTCCAAAACCATAACAATAATAGAGGGGGAACACATGATCATCCAAACAAACGGATGAAAGAAAGCACATGTCACCGGTGTGGAATGACAGGACATTGGTCACGTACTTGTCGCACGGCTAAACACTTGGTGGACCTTTACCAAAAATCGATTAAAGAAGCGAAAGGGAAAGGTGTCGAGACAAATCATGTCATAAACAATTCGGATGATGATGCTGGTGGTGCTAAAGATTTTACACACATGGACCTCGCTGATGGTTTTGCGCATCCTGAAGATGGCGTTGATTATGAATAAAAAGCCATATATATAGTTGTATCGTTTATATATGTAATCAACCTCGTAATAATCCATATATGCATAAATAATGCGTCTACATTTTGTAAAATAGTTATGTATCTGTGTCATCATTTCTGTTAGTCATAATGTTATAATATATTTTCTAATGTTTACTATGTTGTTTTGTTCTTCAATAGATAATGAGTATGGCTAAATCTGCAAATCGAGGAGGAGATATATGTTTAGCAGATAGTGCTACAACACATACAATACTGACAGACAAGAAATATTTTTCTAGTCTGAAAATAAACAAAGGAAATGTCATTACTATATCTGGAAATGCAAAAATAATTGAAGGCTCCGGAAGAGCCGATTTCATAATGCCAGGAGGAACAAAATTTGCTATAAAAGATGCACTATTTTCCTCCAAGTCCCAAAGAAATCTATTAAGTTTTAAAGATATCCGACTGAATGGATATCATATTGAAACCACAAATAAAGGTGATATTGAATATTTGTGTATCACCTCAATCAATATGGGACAAAAATATGTGTTAGAAAAATTACCCACTCTATCTTCGGGATTATATTATACTAATATCAATGTGATTGAATCATATGCCACAGTAAACCAGAAGTTTACCGATATGTTCAAAGTTTGGCATGATCGATTGGGTCATCCTGGTGCCATTATGATGAGAAAGATTATCGAAAACTCTCATGGTCACCCATTGAAAAACCAGAAGATTTTTCAATCAGATGAGTTTTCTTGTGATGCATGTTCTAGAGGAAAATTAATAATCAGACCATCACAAGCTAAAATCGGGCATGAATTACCATCATTTCTAGAAAGGATTCATGGTGATATTTGTGGACCTATTCATCCACCATGCGGACCATTTCGATATTTTATGGTATTAATTGATGCTTCAAGCAGATGGTCGCATGTATGTCTTTTATCATCACGTAATCTGGCATTTGCCCGATTTTTAGCCCAAATAATTAAATTAAGGGCTCAGTTCTCGGAATACTCAATCAAGAAAGTGAGGCTTGATAATGCTGGAGAATTTACATCACAAGCATTTAATGATTACTGTGTAGCAATGGGTATTGATGTTGAACACCCAGTTGCACACGTTCATACACAGAATGGATTGGCAGAGTCATTAATCAAACGACTCCAGCTTATTGCTAGACCATTGATAATGAAAACGAAACTTCCCATTTCTGTGTGGGGTCATGCCATTTTGCATGCTGCAACATTAATTCGTATTAGACCAAGTGCATATCACAAGTATTCTCCATTGCAATTAGCATTTGGTCAAGAACCTAATATATCGCATCTCAGAATATTCGGATGCGCAGTATATGTACCGATTTCCCCACCACAGCGTACAAAAATGGGACCACAAAGAAGGCTTGGAATATATGTTGGGTATGACTCACCATCCATTATACGATACCTTGAGCCAAAAACTGGAGATATTTTTACGGCTCGTTTTGCTGATTGTCAATTTAATGAGAATGAATTCCCACCATTAGGGGGAGAAAATGATAGAATGGCGGGAAATAAAAATGATCTTAATTTGTGTACACCATCATTGTCACATCTTGATCCCCCGGCAAAACAACGAGAACTGGAAGTTCAAAGGATCATACATTTACAAAACATTGCAAATCAGTTACCAGATGCTTTTGCAGATACAACTAAGGTAACAAGATCATATATAGATGCTGCGAATGTCCCAGCTCGAATCGAAATTCCGAAAGAACAAATGAAAGAAAATGTAATAAACGATTCTAAAGCACGCCTGAAGCGTGGACGACCTATTGGTTCTAAGGATAAAAATCCCCGAAAGAGCAAAGGGCCCAAGAAAAATGAAATGCTCGATTCGGAGGAACGCGTTCCAAATCAAAGAAATGAAGTACCTTATGATGATGGTATAAATACAGACAATGAAAATCATGAGATCTCAATTAATTATATCAGTAATGGTACATTATGGAGTCGAAAAGAAATCAAAGAGATTGATGATATATTCTCTTATAATGTATCAAAGGAAATTGATGAAAATGAGGATCCAAAACCAAGATCCATTTCAGAGTGTCAAAAGAGACCAGATTGGATTAAATGGAGAGACGCAATACAGACTGAATTGGATTCGTTGAATAAGCGAAATGTATTCGGACACGTCATTATTAAACCGAAAGAGGTTACTCCTGTTGGATGTAAATGGGTATTTGTACGCAAAAGAAATGAGCACAATGAAATTGCTAGATATAAAGCTCGCCTTGTTGCACAAGGTTTCTCACAGAGACCAGGAGTTGATTATGAAGAAACTTATTCTCCTGTTATGGATGCGATTACATTTCGATACCTAATTAACCTTGTAGTTTCAAAGAACTTAGAAATGCGTCTCATGGATGTTGTTACTGCTTATTTATATGGGTCACTTGACACAAACATTTATATGAAAATCCCTGAAGGATTTAAAATGCCCGAAATATTGAAATCAAAACCACGAGAATTATGCGCTGTCAAGTTACAACGATCATTGTACGGGCTAAAACAATCAGGACGTATGTGGTATAAACGTCTGAGTGAACATTTAGTGAAAAATGGATATACAAATAATCCTATTTCACCATGTGTGTTTATAAAAAGGACGATGTCTGGATTTGTGATTATTGCTGTCTATGTTGATGATTTAAATATCATTGGAACTCCCCGTGAAATTCAGGATGCATCCACCTATTTAAAAGGAGAATTTGAGATGAAAGATCTCGGACAAACCAAGTTTTGTCTTGGATTACAAATAGAGCATTTGAATACGGGAATTTTTCTACATCAATCTAATTATACAAAAAGGGTACTAAAGCGGTTCAATATGGATAAGGCAAATCCCCTGAGTACTCCAATGATTAATAGATCATTGAATGTTGAAACAGATCCATTTCGCCCTCGTGAAGATGGTGAAGAGACACTTGGTCCTGAAGTACCATATTTAAGTTCAATAGGGGCTCTTATGTATCTTGCCAACTGTACTCGACCTGATGTAGCATTTGCTACTAATCTGTTAGCAAGATATAGTTCAGATCCTACACGAAGGCATTGGAATGGGATTAAGCACATTTTCCGTTATCTTCAAGGATCGATCGATTTGGGATTATTTTTCCCTAAAAGTACAAAACAAGAAATTGTTGGTTTTGCAGATGCAGGATATTTATCTGATCCACATAAGGGAAGATCACAAACAGGTTATATCTTCACAATCAATGGAACTGCATTAGCTTGGCGTTCTCAAAAGCAAACATTGGTTGCTACGTCATCTAATCACGCAGAAGTTATCGCGCTACATGAAGCAAGTCGGGAATGTGTCTGGCTTAGATCTTTGACTCAACATATCCAGACAGCTAGTGGATTATCAACCAATAAAGCTCCAATAATATTATTTGAAGATAACGCTGCATGCGTTGCACAGACTAAGGGAGGATATATTAAAAGCGATAGGACAAAACATATTCCTCCGAAGTTCTTTGCATACACTCAAGAGCTGGAAAAGAATAAGGAGATTGAAGTCAGATACATACGATCATGTGATAATGCAGCAGACCTATTCACAAAAGCTCTACCGACAACAATGTTCAAGAAACATGTACATAACATTGGAATGCGTCATCTACGAGACCTTTGATCCGATATACAGGGGGAGCGTGGAACTGCACTCTTTTTCCCTTATCAGGTTTTATCCCAAGGGGTTTTACTGATAAGGTTTTTAACGAGGCAGTATAAGACACGCAAATACATTTTGATTAACCGTAGCTCCAAGGGGGAGTGTTATAAATGAATAGTGAAGCTACGGTACTGTTCACGCAGCCGGACACTGTTCACGCAGCCGGGTACTGTTCACGCCGCCATACGGTTACTGTTTAGCCGCCATACGGTTACTGTTCATAAATACGTATACGTGAACAGTAACTTCGGATTTTCTATAAATAGCTCATTTCCCTCCTTCATTTGTACACAATTCCAAGAAAAGAAAATTATTGAAATCTTGTTCCCGGGTCTCTCAAACGATCGATTTCGGTTTCTAGTTAACGATCTGATTCTCGGGTCTTCTATATTTCTTCGTTTTTCACAACAGTATCAACCTTTTTCCTGAAAACGATTATATAAATATTTGTATATACCATCTTAGATTCTGTCATAGCCTTCAAAACTGCCTTTCATGGCTGAATACTAGAAATATACCACCTTTCTTAGACCTGACGTTCTCTCTTCAGAACCCATTTTCCATTTTCTTCCCTTTTTCGAAAACCTAATCTGGGTTTTCTTCCTCCTCCATGGAGCGTGCAAGGAGACTCGCCCACAAAGGGATCGTCAGACGCCTCGTGAACGAGGCAAAACGACACCGTAACGGCGAACCTGCCCTGACACCGGCTCCGGCGATTGCCCCTTACGCTCCGGTGAGGTATGTCTCTTCCATATCTCCGTCTGTTCCGCGACGTTGCACCACCGGATCCATTAACCCTGCAGCGGCGGCGGCGTGCGGCGGTTTTGGCTCACAGCAGAGGCGATGGATCTCCGTCGAGGCTCTGAAGCCCAGCGATACTTTCCCACGCCGCCACAACTCCGCCACGCCGGAGGAGCAAACCCAGATGGCGACATCATGCGGGTTTGATAATCTCGATGCTCTCATAGATGCTACGGTGCCGAAATCGATACGTTTAGATTCGATGAGTTTCTCGAAGTTTGATGGGGGTTTGACGGAGAGCCAAATGATCGAGCATATGAATGATTTAGCTTCTAAGAACAAGGTTTTCAAATCGTATATCGGTATGGGATACTACAACACTCATGTTCCTCCTGTGATTTTGCGTAATATAATGGAGAATCCTGCTTGGTACACTCAATACACACCGTATCAGGCTGAGATATCGCAGGGCAGGCTTGAATCTCTGCTCAATTTTCAGACGATGATCACAGATCTCACTGGTCTCCCCATGTCGAATGCCTCTTTACTCGACGAAGGAACCGCTGCTGCGGAGGCAATGGCGATGTGTAACAACATTCAAAAGGGTAAAAAGAAGACATTTGTGATTGCTAGTAACTGTCATCCTCAGACAATCGATGTGTGCAAGACAAGAGCTGATGGGTTTGATCTGAAAGTAGTCACAGCTGATCTTAAGGACATCGATTACAGTTCTGGGGATGTCTGTGGGGTTTTGGTTCAGTACCCAGGAACAGAGGGAGAAGTCCTGGACTACGCTGAGTTTGTGAAGAATGCTCATGCCAATGGTGTTAAGGTTGTTATGGCATCGGATTTATTGGCCTTGACGACGCTGAAGCCACCGGGTGAATTCGGGGCTGATATTGTTGTCGGCTCGGCTCAGAGATTCGGTGTCCCAATGGGTTATGGTGGTCCACATGCTGCTTTCTTGGCCACTTCACAAGAGTATAAGAGGATGATGCCTGGGAGAATTATCGGTGTGAGTGTTGATTCTTCGGGAAAACCAGCTCTGCGTATGGCTATGCAGACTAGGGAACAGCATATCCGGAGGGACAAAGCCACCAGCAACATCTGTACTGCTCAGGTAACCGACTTCTTGATTCTTGTCCATTGCTGCACTTGTGATTATCTGATTCAAAACCAAAGCTTTTATTTGTTTCTCAATAGAAATCATTTAGAACAGTGAGCTTGCCGCATCCAAAATTGCCCTTTTGTGTAGGTGAATGAGTGTATGTTTTCAGTTCTTGAGCGTAAGCAATTACTGCCGGCAAACAACTCGAGCTTTCCTCCTTTTTTCTAATACTTTTTTTACTTCTGTTTTAGGCGTTGCTCGCCAACATGGCTGCCATGTATGCTGTTTACCATGGACCCGGAGGCTTAAAATCCATTGCTCAACGTGTTCACGGATTGGCTGGAGTATTCGCCCTAGGGTTAAAGAAACTTGGAACCGTGAATGTCCAAGATCTTCCCTTTTTTGACACCGTAAAGGTTAACTGTTCGGATGCACACGCAATAGCCGAGGCAGCCTACAAGAAGGAGATTAATCTGCGTGTTGTGGACTCCAACACCGTAAGTGCGATTTTGTTTCCGGTACATTTGCAACAATTTAGTTCACCATAGATTTTTGAATTTTGCAAATTCCACAAATGGGTATATGTTTCTTTATCACATTTGTTATATTTGGATAGTGTGTATGATTATGATATCGGATGTTGTTCTCTTTTCAGATAACTGTTTCTTTCGATGAAACAACCACCTTGGATGATGTCGATAAGCTTTTTGAAGTTTTTGCTTCTGGCAAACCTGTGAGTGTCGATCAACTACTTCTCTTCCAGTTCTCTACTTGCGGTTCCATACTATTTCGTCAGTTTATATGAAATCTGTTTTCTTTTTCAACTCCAATGTTCAGGTTCAGTTCACAGCCGAATCTCTTGCTCCTGAGTTTCAGAATGCTATTCCTTCTAGCGTAAAGAGAGAAAGCCCTTTTCTCACCCACCCAATCTTCAACACGTATATTGCTTTGTCCGAATCTGGGCTGGTTCATAGCTTGTGTCTTAGAAGTAGCTTACCTTTACTTTTCCCTTTTACATGTGTGCAGGTACCATACTGAGCATGAGTTGCTCAGGTACATCCACAGGTTACAGTCTAAGGATCTATCGTTGTGCCACAGTATGATTCCATTGGGATCTTGTACGATGAAATTGAATGCAACAACTGAAATGATGCCCGTCACATGGCCAAATTTCACCAACATTCACCCTTTTGCTCCTGTTGAACAGGCCCAGGGTTATCAGGTAAGCACCTTTCTTTGATGAATTCTTGTTTAAAGAAGTTTGGATACATTACATTGATGAAACCATGACTGATTTGTTCTTTGATAACTTTCAGGAAATGTTCAACAATTTGGGTGAGCTGTTGTGTACCATCACTGGGTTTGATTCTTTCTCACTGCAACCCAATGCTGGTGCTGCTGGGGAGTATGCTGGCCTTATGGTCATCCGTGCATATCACTTGGTAAAAAAGCTGACACCATTTTTTCACCATTGATGATCTCTTACCTGCAAATTGTTTTGTCCAATGCAAAGATCGAAGATTTGAACAAAGATCTTCTGTTAACATTTTGAAATTAACGGGCAATGGGTGTATACTATGACGTGCAGTCAAGAGGGGATCATCACCGAAATGTGTGTATAATACCCGTCTCTGCACATGGGACAAACCCTGCAAGTGCTGCAATGTGTGGTATGAAAATCGTTGCTGTTGGAACTGATGCCAAGGGAAACATCAACATTGAAGAGCTGAGGAAAGCTGCTGAAGCCAACAAGGACAACCTAGCTGCCCTTATGGTATATTATGATTTCTTCCTTGTTATGCTCAATCACTCAAGTGATTGTTTTCAAATCGTTAGTTTCTTTGATCGGTTTCTGAAAATCAGGTTACTTACCCTTCGACTCATGGAGTCTATGAAGAGGGTGTTGATGTGATCTGCAAGATAATTCATGACAATGGAGGTCAAGTGTATATGGATGGTGCTAACATGAATGCTCAGGTCTGCTTTCTCTATGTTTCGGGAAATCAAATCCGGTTATTCTTAATCAAATTTAGCAAATATTGTCTCAAACCTATAATCCAAAAACGTTATGGGATTTTCCAGGTGGGTCTAACGAGCCCCGGATTTATTGGAGCTGATGTTTGCCATCTCAATCTTCACAAGACCTTCTGTATTCCTCATGGAGGTGGCGGTCCGGGTATGGGTCCTATTGGTGTTAAGAAGCATTTGGCACCATTCTTGCCTTCACACCCTGTGGTTAGTTTGCATTTCGGCTTTGATGGCCAATCTTGCTTATAGTTAATCCTTTGTCTCTGTTATGTTCTAAGCGGATTTGGTGAATTTTTTGCTAGTTTTTCGGTTTGCATCGTTTTGTTTTTCATTTTTTTTCCTTTGTTTCCTCTCCTTGAAGATTCCTACTGGCGGTATCCCTAAACCCGAAAAGTCTGCACCTTTGGGTACCATCTCTGCAGCACCATGGGGCTCTGCACTTATCTTGCCAATCTCTTACACTTACATTGCCATGATGGGATCCGAAGGACTCACCAATGCTTCGAAGATAGCAATCTTGAACGCTAACTACATGGCCAAGCGTCTCGAGGTTCCACTTTCTTTCACTCGAAGCTTTTCCTTTTTTTTTCGAAAACAAAATGCTTTCTGTGTATCATCTTAGCAAAAAGATGTGTTTTTTTTAATGTTTTCATTAGAAAGAAAGATTAGTGCTTTGATCTTATATATCCTCTTTTCTGCCTTTTTGTTTTGTTTTCAGAACCACTACCCGGTTCTCTTCCGCGGTGTGAATGGAACAGTTGCCCACGAATTCATCATAGACTTGAGAGGCTTCAAGGTATATATATGTAACGAAATAATTGTTTCTTTTCGGAGAAGAGTAAAGTTTGCAACTTTCTCACATTAAAACCTCAAACATCGGCTTTCATTCAGAACACTGCAGGTATAGAACCAGAGGATGTGGCGAAACGTCTGATGGATTACGGTTTCCATGCTCCCACAATGTCTTGGCCTGTCCCCGGAACTCTCATGATTGAGCCCACCGAAAGCGAAAGCAAGGTACTTCTGCAATTTCCTCTCTCTTTCGAGAAAAGGGTTTTGAGTAAATATGATATCTAATCTCCATTGCAGGCCGAGTTAGACAGGTTCTGTGATGCCCTCATCTCGATCAGGGAAGAAATCTCACTGATCGAAAAGGGTAACGCCGATATCCACAACAACGTCCTCAAGGTTAATAACTCTCTCCGTTTGCTCAGTGCTGAATGAATCTCTGGTTATTGAATCTTGACTTGTATTCTCATCTCAAAACTCGGGGAAACGCAGGGAGCTCCACATCCTCCGTCGTTGCTAATGGCAGACGCGTGGAAAAAGCCTTATTCCCGGGAATGCGCCGCATTCCCCGCCCCTTGGCTCCGCTCCTCCAAGTTCTGGCCTTCCACAGGTACTTTAAAAAACACGTTTTTTTTCCGAACACTCTGACACCATTCCTTCACAAATCTGATAGAACCCTCCCCATAATAGGCTGGAATAAATCGTTTTTAGGATTGATGGTTAGAACTCAAACAGAAAACTAGCTTGTTGGGAGATGATGTCCATAATCTTATGATCGTTTTGATGCGTACTTACGCCGATATAAACGTATGATTTCTTTTGTTCTCGTCAGGGCGTGTGGATAACGTGTATGGAGACAGGAACCTCGTCTGCACTCTCCTCTCGGTGTCGCAGGTTGCGGAAGAACAGGCCGCCGCATCTGCTTGAGGGTCCAGACACAATCTTTCAGTCAAAGTAAACTTTTATAAAATACAATCTTTTAGAACCTTTTGTCTGCACTCTCTCTCCTTTTGTTGTCCATCTTCCAATTCTACAATTGTGATGTGATGACCCTCTATTTTTATTCATAATTTTATTTTATTTTTTAATATTTGCAATCTCATTTGTATTAATCAGTTTTCTTTTATTTTTCCCGTTTTTAAAAAAATGGGATATGGTTTTGGTAATTTTGATAAATACACTCAAACTTCGATAATTTAACCGGTGGATGTAAAGCGTATGTTATGTTTTGAATTCAAATCTCAAGTTTAGAGAGGGGATCGGTCATGAGATTAGTTTGGATCTTGCTTCAATATATTCGTTTATCCATAAAACCTTGATAAACACAATCTTTAGACCTTGAACCTTAGATTATAAAATTTGGAGATGTTGTAGTCACACCCCTCCAAACAAAGCAAGAAAATCAGATTTAAAATATTTTGATAGAATTTTACAGAACTTCATAAATTTTAAATCCATCCCCAACATTCACGAAGTTGTTGTAAAATGATGCAAAAAATCCAACAGGTTTATAAATTTTGAAAATGTAATCAAATGAATTTGTGAATATTTACGGTAAAATTGTATAATGTTCCGTAATAATTTTTTATAGTCAGATTTTTTAAAGAATTGTTTGTATAATGATTTGGTTATTTTAAAAAGATATAGTGTTACTAATGAGTAACTTCTATTGTTTTAGCATTTATATTTGCAATAGTTACAGGGAAAAATCCTAAAAAAGTTGAACTTTTGAATGTTGATATAAAATTCCCACACCTTTTTACCCTCCTTTTTTCTCCTTATTTACATTCGTACCCCTGCATCCCTCCTATCCAACCTTCTTGGTTTTTTTTTTCTAAACCATTTTTCTATTTTAAGAAATATAAAAATATTTATCTTAATTCAATTTCATTTCGTTCTGCACAAGCACACACGTTTATATTTTTTATATACATACATGTATGCATATAATTATATAAATGTACATGAATAGAAAGCAATTTAATTAGATCGTTGCAGAATCCTTGACGCAGCCGTTTTTTTCTTAATTAATCCTACAACAGTTACTTAATCAAGAAACCTAGTTTATAAGTATATTGTATTGCTATTAAAGGAAAGGTTAGCCTAAAAGGGCAAACCCTCTAATATATACGTACATATACATAGATTCATAATTTTATTATAATTTAAATATTGGTATTATGATTTTTAAATTTCATACACTAACCAAACCATTTTGCAACCATCCGTGGGTTATAACATGTAACTAGCTTTGTCCAAAATCATAATTTTTCATCTACAACCACAGTCTCTGGTTACATTATAAAGTTAATGGTTACTTACAGCTAAGTGTATATATAATTGTTATTTTAAACAAATATATACAAAACGTTAGACACGGTGGATTAATAATATAAAATTTAGAAAATATTGTATTATAACTAAAGATTATATGCATTCGGATATTCGGATTTCAATTCAATTATTTCCGAATTCAAAATTTTCGGTTTTTATAAAATTTTTATATTTGTTTGACTTTAAATGATATTTCCATTCAATATAAAAAAATGAAAGCACAGGGACTCACCACCTTCACCTTGGACCTGTGTTGATCCGTCTTACCAATGAGAAAACGTTATTTGTTGTTGACGATGAAATCCATGCTTTATAGATTTAAGCAATTCAATTGAAAAAATGAAAAATAAAATACGAAAGGGCATATCCGTCCAAGAAATTTGTTTGATTAGATATAAACCTATAGCTGTTCCAAAATCTCCCATCTATTTGTTCTTTACTTCGCACACGAACCCTCCCGACATCTAAACTCTTTCCAATATCACTTCTCCTTCATCATCATCATCATCATCATCATCATCATCATCATCATCATCATCATCATCATCATCATCATCATCATCATCATCATCATGAGCTCTTGCTCCACAATGGTTCAAGACCTAACCGAGGAAGAATACAAGACCCTCGAACCAATCATCAACATCTACCACCGGTTCAACCCAAACGGAAGCGCTTGCACCTCCCTCATAACGCAACGCATCAACGCGCCCGCTTCGGCGGTCTGGCCGCTCATCCGCAGTTTCGACAACCCCCAAAAATACAAACACTTCATCAAGAGTTGCCGTCTCGTCCACGGCAACGGCACGGACGTAGGCAGCGTCCGAGAGGTCACAGTCATCTCCGGCCTCCCGGCCTCGACGAGCACCGAGCGTCTCGAACTCCTCGACGACCAAAACCGCGTTTTGAGCTTCCGGGTCGTGGGAGGCGAACACAGGCTCAAGAACTACAAGTCGGTGACATCAGTCAACGAGTTCTCGAATCAAGATTCCGGCAAAGCCTACACGGTGGTTCTTGAATCTTACACGGTGGATATCCCCGACGGAAACACCGAGGAAGACACGAAGATGTTCGTGGATACTGTCGTGAAACTGAATCTCCAGAAGCTTGGTGTCGTGGCCATGGCTTCTGGTTCTTGTTCTTCATCTAAGCATGAGTCGATGGATGAATGAATGAGTCAGTGAATGTGAGAGAGGGAGAGAGATGCTGTCGTGGGTTTAGTTTGATGATTAACGTTGTTGTTGAGTAATTAATTAATTAATTAATTGGATTTAACTTTGTCGATTCATGTTTTTTCTTTTCACAAAGATTGTACTTCCCCCCTTTTTTGGAAGTTGATTTCTATTGGACTTCGATTCGGTGAAAACATGGCATTGCTGCTGCAGGAAGTAATTTATTTTCAATTATTTTACCAATAAATTATTATTGTTGAATATGGGCATCATGGCATTGAACGTGATTATTAGTTCCAATATTTCTTAATTAGTTTGCATTCACTATCTAGAGGAGTGTAATACGGAAAGCTGAATCAAATTAATTAATCTCTCAAATCTTTTTAGTTCAATAAATATAATTTTATACTCTCAAAATCCATATCTTTAATTTATTTAACACTTCCCGTATCATGCTACTACGATTGAAAATTAACAGTTTTTGTTATGGGAATAGTTTCCTTTTCTATACACAATTTATGTTGTTCAATAGAAATAGACGAGAGGATAGAACCATTGTAAACTCATAAATTTGTGCGTCAAAATTTAATAATATTTAGATAATATTACTGAACTATGGAGATTTTGAAATTGGGGTTACAATTCATCTATTTTCGTGTTATGTTTTTAATCTTTAACCAACCATAATTACGACCAATAGATCTCTTTATGATATATATATATATAATATATAATATTATTAATATCGTTAAAATAAGGATTAGATTCGGGAAGAGGTTTCTCCTTTTTCAGATTTCTGGTTATAAATAATAAAAAGAGGACTGTGTCACGTTATGCTTATGCATGCAGCGTTGCACTCCTTTTCTACTTTCCTTTTTTTAAAAATCAATTTCACTTCATTAATCATTAAAGTAATAGTATAATATTTGCATATATATTTAATTTTTTAATTTTATTTTAGATTATTAATATTAACGTAATAGGTTGATATATATATATAGGGATTGGATTATGTTTATTTGTTTTATTTTCTTATTTTTTTATTTATTCAAAGTTTACATATATTCGATTTTATTTGGTTATATTGATATTTAATTCAAATTCGATTGTTTATTAAAAAAGTATTTTTTTAGAACGAATTCAATTATGTTTATATTAAATTTCAAATTCAATTATTTTGATTTAAAAAATAATAATATCTTAGATTGGATTCCGAATTAAGCATATATTATTCATATTTTGATTTTGTATAATCAAATAAAAGTTGCAGTTCCATTATATATATACATATACATAATTTCGATAATAGATAATGTCAACACAAAGACGGTGCGTCGGCTTGAAACGAGAGCAACCTAACCACCAAATGCATTAATTTATTTTTTGTGTATGTGGATAATGCTGCAGTTGTTATAATTGTAACATTTTTGTCAACTGGAATTTATTAAATGAGATGGTTTTTAAGTGAAAATAGAAAAAACCTTTAATTTGATTTTCCTTTATCCCATTTGACTCCCTTTTTATATTTTATTGGCATTAATTTTTCCCCCTCATTTACCATTCACCAAAAAAAAAAAAATCCCCTGATAGATGTGTACATGTGACAAAGAAGCCTCCTATTCACGCAAAGCCAACATCAATTGTATTTTATATCCAAAATAATAGTTTATTTAAATTTTTAAAAGGGTTTCCAACACAACAATATCAACAAATATCAACAATCGTAACAGCGTGAGCGTGGTTAGTGATGGCAAAATGAGTTAGGCTCGCGAGCTGTCTCGCGGTTGGTTTTTTTTTATCGAAGTGGGTTAAAAAATAAAAGACCAAATAAAAAGGGGGAGCCAGCTCGCGACGAGTTCGAGTCCATCCGGACTAGTTTAGTCGGCTCGCGAACTGACATTAAAAATATTAGGGTTTTATACTTTAATTTATTTACTTCTTCTGTTTATATAGCAAATTAAAATTCATGATATGTTGATGTTGGTGTATATTTTTTGTTATATTTTGATGTTGTTGGTGTATAATACTTTTTATGTTGATGTTGATGTATATTTTTTGTTATATTTTGATGTTGTTGATGTATTACACTTTTTTTATGTTGGTTTGGTTTTGTTAATTTTTTTTATTTAGATATAGTTTTTATGGATTGTTATGTTAAATATTTTATGTTATGTTGAATGACTTCAAAATATTGTTATGTAGATTTTAAATGATTAATTTTCATGTAATTTTTAAAAAAATTTGGATAATTAGATAAAAACGGGCTGGCTCGTGAGCCGGTTCGAAATTCGGACAATTTGGTCTGGATCAGAGTTTTTTTAGCTCGTAAAAAAACGGACCGAATGGGCTTAGCAAAAAATGAACTGGTTCGAGACGAGTCGGTCCGAGCCAATCCGTTTTACATCATTAATAGTGATAAATCTCCCTCTAAACAATTATATCGACGCAATAATTGTCTTGACGAAAAATATAAAACAGTTTGTATACCATGCGAATTCAAATATCACTTTGGTTGAATAAGAAAGAGATTTTTTTAGGAGATTTCTCCTTTTTTTTTTTGTAAAAGGTGTATTTGTATATAATGATTGTGAAACAGGCTCATTATCATTATATACACCTTTTATACAAAAAAAAAATAAGAAAGAAAGGGAAATCTCCCAAAAAATTCCCTAATTCCTAAAAATGTGCCAAAATAATTCTCCACTTAAAAGCTTTACCTACTACTACTACTAATAATAATAACAATAATAATAATAATAATTGAAGCCTGAATCTAGCCCAACATGTTTTGGGCTTGATCCAGGCAGATTATGTTTGAGATAATTGATATATAGATTTGAATTTGAGGTTTGAAAAACACTCACAAAGTCCATCACTTCACGTTTGATAGTCCAAAAAAAATATATGAGCATATGCTATATATATATATATATATACATATCAAGTTTATTACGTCAATATATATATATATATATGGACCGATTTAGATTATTAGTAATGAAAAATAATATTAATTTTATGTATATCTTTGACAAAAACCAAACTAATATCTTTATTTTTATGCTTATTATTAGTTAATGTTCTAATAATATTTTTTTTCTTTTTACAATTTTTAATTATCAGAAAATATTTCGATATAATATTTTTTGGAAAAGATATCACATAAAAACGTGTGATGGAGAGCATAAATTAAATGAAATAAAGAAGGGAAGATTTTCTGCGGCAGTGAGACATCACATCGAGGATCCTAAGAACGCTAAGTAAATTTGGAACCTCTTCTAACCCACTGATTCATTCAGAAGCTCCCTTTTCCACGCACACCCTTGTTCCCTTCTCAATCTCATACATACATACATACATACATACATACATACATACATACATACATACATACATACATACGTATGTATGTGCATACATACATACGTATGTATGTGCATACATGGATACATTATGCAGATGTTAATATCTACATCATAGATACAAAGACAATACACACATCAATACACATACAGAGCTAAATGTGTATATTTATGTTCACGCTGCAAAAAGAAACCCTAACGATTTACTTAAACATTTACATTTGCTCCTTTTTTTCGCTTTCTTTCATTCTGTTTTTCATTATTAAAATCGAGATACATAATTCATATCGTTCACGCGCATAATAGTATAATACCGATATCACCAAAAAAAGTACTAATTTATATGATAAGAACAACTTTGTATATATATATATATAGTTTTTATCATTTTATCTAGACCAAATAAAAAACTTATTGTATTTATCAAGTAAATTTTCAGTGGGAATATTAGATTTTATAAACTAAAATGATTTTTTTTTTGATAAAATTTTCAGTGATACATGATAATTTTTAATGATTTTTGAACCATCTGAATAGATTTAAAAAAAATAATAATATTTTTTTGTCTTAAACATACTAATCCCTATGTGATAATAAATTCTAAACCTTATTGCATTTCGTGTATCTCAGAAATTTAGTTAAGTGATACTCCCAAAAATTAAAAAAGAAAAAAAAAACTTGTGACAATATTTATAGTATTTTTAAGCTTATGCAAAATACAAATACAAAACAAACATACATATAATAATCTGATTATTTCAGATTAAGTATTATATTTTTAGGTTAATATCTCTTAATTTGTTTTTGTTATAGTTACCATTTAATATAAATTTAGATCAATAATTGAAATTAAGATTAATCTTAATTATTTAAAATAATTAATATGAGTTGTTTTATATATCCTGCCTATATATACACACATATATATACAGGTATACGCATGTATGTACATGTATATACTGTAAAAGAAAGCGAGAGTTTCATAATTGCTTGTGTCCCTCGCTATCTCGTAGATTCTCAATTGCGACAGTGCCTATTCCATGCATATACCCTTAGCCCCCATGTGTCTACGTAATCATACAGTTCACACAATTTTAATAATTACATTATTTTTTTTTTGTCAAAGTCATTTAAATTTACTGCTTGGTACGACTCTCGCTTTTTTATTTTGTCAGCCCTCGAAGATTTTATTTTACGTATTGAAATTTACAGTTTTTTACTGTCGTTTGTCGCAGTCCCACCAGGATTTTCTCATCATCACCTTTATTGTTAATGCTTACATCACTTCGTTAGATCGTAGAATCCTCGATTTAAGAAGGAAACAGGTATAAAATTTTAATATAAATCTCTAAAACAAATTTTATTATATTTAAATTTCTTGTAAACGCCTTTTTCTCATATTTATGTTATACGAAGAAATTCATGTTTACTATTTTAAACTTAAAAAAATGTAAGTCTCTAAACAAATTTATTTAACCTAAATGAAACAATTATTATTATAATAAATTTCCTAAAAATTCGTAATTTTTAAAACTTAATATAAATTTAATACATCTTTAAATCTTAATAAATATTTACATTCACAAAAATATCAAAAAATTATTATATTTATTAATTAATCATTTTGACTACAATTTTAAAAAATAATAATATTTTAAATTTCATTGAAAATTAATTAAGAAAATATAATTTTGAATAGAGACTGTTTTGAAAATTAAAAATATAGATGACTAAAATTTATATAGATATTGTTTTAAAATTTAATTTTTGTAATGTTTATTTAAAAATAAAAAATTGTGTGTAAGTATTGATAATGAATAATTTAGATACATATTTTGAAATACATTTACACATTATATAAAATATGAAAATAATTCAAATATAAAAATATAAAAATTTCATACATGTTAGTAGTTACGACACGATTAGCAGAATCATTCTTTGTTGTATCGTAGTCTTATAGATAGATATTCCGACACGATTTGATAATAAACTAAATTATTATATGAAATATTAAACCCTAAACTAATGTAACTGCATTGAAATTTCCAACACAAGTGTTTTGTGTTTTTGGTCTGTCTGAATGTCTCTATATTCGTACGTATATATTGGTCGGTATGATTGCGCGTATATATACGTACGTAACATATACGTAGATATATGTATCTATATATGTATATGTATCTGAGTATAAAATGTATGTATGTATTTACGTTTGTAAAAATCTTGTTAATTTTTTTTAATGAAATCTTGTTAATTTTAAAATATATAAAATCATTTTTTTATTTATAACTTTGAGTGTCTAGGCAATCGAATTAAAATTTTCCAATCTACTTGCGTGATCAAAATTCATGATAATATTTACAGAATCAAAATTTGTAGTAATATTTTTGGAGTTAAACCCAAAATATGTATGTTTATATTCCAGGATGATGATCTATAAACAAATTTATCCAATTTAGAAACAAAATTCCATTAATCTGAAAATATCACATAAAAACATTCTTATTACTCATGTTTTTTTCTTTATTTTCTGTTAAATTCATTTAAATCATATCCCGTCCTCATCTACTACAATGATAACTAAAATCATAGATGTGGTAGATTCTCACAAAGTTTGATTTAATTTTTAATAATTTATTTTTTGGTTTGTGTGGTTATGATGGATTTGGTGGCAAAAGACACGAGTGGTGAGAAAGGGAAGAGGAAAGGCAAAGAAGAAAGATAACTCGAATGGATCACACATCTCATCAATTGTCCTTAAATAGCTAAAAAGATCTCTCCTCTCTTTTCTTTTCTTTTTTCCTTTTTCTTTTCCTTTCTCAAAATGTTCCCACAGAGCTCACTGTTTTTGTTTTTTTAGTTTTTCTTGTTTTGTGTTTCTTTTTATGATTTGTGATAATTATTTAAAGCTGCACAAGAGGACAACCCGAAATAATGTTATATATATTTATGTGTATGAACAAAATAAATAAATAAATAAATAAATATATACATATATATGTATGTAGGGCCACTTCTCCTAATTAAAGCCTGCAAGAGAAATGAGTGTCTCCCCTGCTGCTGCATCCTGTTGTCAACAGTAGCACATTGGTCTTATTCATGTCTTTTGATTCTGGTTTCCACTTACATTATCTCCTTTTATTGTTTATATCTATGTGATGAATCTCTAATACACTTTTATATATATATATATATATACAAAGTGTCTCAAATATGATTTTTTTTAGTAGCATTGGTTTTGTATGGTTTCAAAAAAGCTTTGGTTACAACATATATAAGAAATTACAATGACAGGTGGTAATTTATGAATGGTTCAAAGAAAAAACACCATCGCATATATTGTCCGTTGGCTATATCATTAATTGAGTGGAAAATGTTCTAATGGTTATATGATTCCAAATTGTATAAATGCTAGAATCAGGAAGAAAGATGGAAAAAAGGGACGATTATTATTCATACTGTTTTTACTTGATATTGTTTTTAAATAAATTTGGAACTGTGGAAAAGATATCAAATATCAATGGCAGTGGTTTTCAATGGGGTCCATGTCATAAACCTCCACTTCTCTGCAAAGGGACCTCCCCTCGCTACGTGCTTTGGCGTTTTTTCTGCTCCTTTTCTCCACTTCTCTTTGAGATCACCTTTCTTCTTCTTTGAGGTTTTCCTGTGAGGGAGAATAAAGAAAAGAAAAGAAAGCCCTTTGTTTTCTGTTGCTTTTTTGGTGTAGTGCTTCTGAATCTTGTACTCAGAGAGAGAGAGAGAGAGAGAGAGAGAGAGAGAGATGTGGAGAGACCATGGATCCTTTGTTGGGTTCTGCAAATTCTGAGTTCCTTGGATTCTGGGTTCTTCATGTAAATTTTTTTTTGAAAAAAAAAATCTAAACTTTTTTGTGTTGTTTGGGTTCATGCAAAAGAAATAAATCAGACCCACTTTTTCTCTGTCCTTTGTCTCTCTCTCTCTCTCTCTCTCTTTTTCTTGGTAATTTTCCTTTTTGGCTTTCCTAAGAACACAGAGGCAGAGAGACAACTGTTGAAGAAGTACAGTGATCTCTCATAGAGAGAGAAGATAAATTTCTAAGTGGGCAACATGGGGAAAGATTTATCTTCTTCAATTCTGATGTAAGAAAAAAAAAACAAATCAGTTTAAACCCTTTGTTGCCTGAGATCTTTCAATCCCCATTTGAAGAACAAAAGCTAGGGCATTGTCTTCATGTGAAAGCAAGGTGTGTATCTACTTACATACTTTCAAATATATATATATATATATATAATTGCATACTTGTGAAGATCGTATAATGTAAAAGCTTGCTCCTTTAAAGGTTTGGTTGGAAATGAAGTGCTTTGTCTTCCAAGTTTTCTTGAAATCTTTGAAGTGATATACTTTGACTTACAGTGTGAAAGCGTACCGTATCATGTCTGTTGAATTCTTCTTTGAAAGTCTTTCCATATTGTTTTTTTTTATCATTTTAAATATTAGTATCCAACAAGAATATATAAAAAAATAACTCCACGCACATCTCTGAAATTTGTTTTTTTTAATCTTGGGAGTGTTTGTAATCATACAATCTGGAGACGTTCTAAGATCATTGAGACGATTCATATACACACACAAACACATCTATACACCATCTTGAGCATATACATACACGTTCATTTTTACATATATGTAACACATGTCGTATACACGTTCGTTTATTATGTGTGCATTAGTGTATCTATCTATTGTATTTGTCATTCTTCCTTTTTTGGATGCCTGTTGAAGATCTAGCTCGTATTTCCTTTAACATTTTGCTGTTGCGTTATTTAGTTGATATTCTCCTCAATACTTAGATTCATTTTTTTTTTGTATGTATGGGTCTTGGATTTTTTTTTTGTTTGAAAGCCTTGTCCGAAGCTTTTATTTAGTTCTTTGATTTTCTTTTGCAGTTTGAACATAGAGAGGTCACAGAAACCAATGGAGAACAACAGCAACAACACTTTCAGTTCTCCTGCAAATGTCAGTAACCAAAATGCCATTCTCATGGATGGATTCACGTCTCAGATGAGCTTAAATCCGCCATTAATGGACCAAAACTATTCGGGTTTTGCCAGAGATTCGGCTACCTTTTCCACCTTCTTTCCGTGGAGTCCTTTGCAAATGTGTGGTTCTGAAGTTGTCAATAGTTTACTCTCCAACGCCTTCTCGGCTTCGCGGGCGTATGATCTTCAAGAAAACTGCGATAACTTGGGAGTTACGGCACCTCAGCTTCACCCTCTTAGACCCTTTGCTTATGAAGATTCCTCGAACAACATGAATTCTTCGTTGCTTACTCCCGGTGACTGCAGATACAGAGACGGGTTCATCGTTAGGGATAACGATAAGTGGGGTTTAGAGGCCAAATCCGGGTTTCAGGCATATACTTGTGCGGATGGGGTCGGTCCAAGTTCACAAATATCTCCAGTTGGCGAAAATCTCGCTGCCCATTTCCCCTTCCCGGTTTCTGAAACCAGAAACGAGCTCTCGTTGAGCCTTGCAACGTCGAATCGCAGTATCATCGGTGGCACAAATGTCTCTGATCAATCCTCGGAGATTAGCCTTTGTCCTGCTGCCACTGCTGCTGCTGCTACTGCTAAAAGATTATCCTCGGAACAAGCTTCTTGCAGCAGCAGCAGCAAGGATCTTTCTTTGAGTTTCCCGTCCAACGTAACGACGGGTTTAATAGTCGGGTCTAGGTATCTTCAAGCTGTTCAGGAGATACTCGCTCAGTTTGCGAGCTTCTCGTTGGAAAGCTCGGAAACCTCGTCGGGTTATTCGGTCAGGGGAACCGAGTCCGGGCCAAATCCGACATTTCTTTCGGGCCTCTGGAATCTCACGGCCGAGTTTCTTGACGGCGATTACAATAACTCGGAGTCAGTTTCTTCACCTGCGTTGCAACGACGAGCCTTAGAAGCCAAGAAAGCTCAGCTCTTGAATCTTCTTCAAGTGGTACATATACACACGGTTCTTCTGCATATTGAATGAACATATATATATACATATACACACACACTCGACCTCTTAGGGTTTTTTTTGTCTGTTTTGAAAAAGTTAGCCAACATTAACATGTTTCTTCCGTACACTCCATATTTTCAGGTAGATGATCGATACAGTCACTGCATGGATGAGTTTCACACGGTTGTATCAGCGTTCTACGCTGCAACTGAGTTAGACCCGCAGTTACACACGAGGTTCGCCCTCCAGACCGTATCTTTTTTGTACAAGAACCTCCGGGAAAGAATCAGCAATCAGATTCTGGCGATGGGATCGGTTCTGGAAAACTCGGGTTCGAGAGGGAAGGAGAAGGCTCGAGAGGATGCGTTTCGAGAACCGGATTCCGCTGCCGCCCTTCTGAGGTTCGACCGGAAGAATCACCAGCTTTGGAGACCGCAGAGAGGTTTGCCGGAGAAATCTGTATCGGTTCTTCGAGCTTGGATGTTCCAGAACTTTCTTCACCCGTAAGATTCTTGAAGCTTTCTTTGTTTAAGCGATTCTCTCCGGACAGACATGGCAAGCAAACATATCAAACCCATTTTGTCGTTTTGATGTAACGTTTTCAAGATTCTCTGTTCGGTTTCTTGCAGTTACCCTAAAGATTCGGAGAAGTACCTTCTTGCAATAAAGAGCGGATTGACAAGAAGTCAGGTAAATTCAAACAAATAATTTCTATTTTTGTTAGTTGTATTATTACTGTCTATTATAATAAGTATTTATTTGTTCATATGGTATAAAAGGTATCGAACTGGTTTATAAATGCACGGGTTAGGCTGTGGAAACCGATGATAGAGGAGATGTATGCAGAGATGAACCGTAGGAATGGTAACTGTGACGACGACGGAAGCCGCCGGAGACAACCGGCCGGCGACACCCTCCACCGGAGATTCTCTTAGATGCTAGCAAGAGGGCCAAAACTATGGGGCGAAAAAAACACACGCGAGGGAATTAGTTGATGTTATTATGTGTAATATTAATTAGAACAAGCAATCATAATTATCATCATCATTATTATTATTATTATTATTTATGCATCTTAAGTGTATATAAATCTTATTAAAAATCTTTTTTTGCTGTTATCGTTGTTGTACCTGCTCATCGTCCGCCATGCTCGGTTATTTTATTGTTACTCGTGTTGTTATAACATTAATATGTCCAAATTGGATGAATCCATGAGTTGATTAGGATACACCAGGCCAGGGTTTCGAGTTTTTATTATTATTATTATTATTATTATTATTATATCTAGATTGAATTTTTTTAATTTTAAAAATATTTATTTATTTAGTTCCATATTAGTTCCATTTTCATGTCGAATTTTTTAAATCCAATTATGTATATTATTCAGGACTGAAACACCCACCTAGGTTGGTCCGTAGAATCCGTATCTAAACTATTGGACATTGATCCTATGTGCGGAAGAAACTATACAACATGTGGCATACAGAAATGGACCGACACCCACAAAACAAGATAAAAAGCCATCTGTACCTCGAAGCATGTTTGGTTTCCCGCCATTAGGAAAAGATCTCACGAAATTGTGTAATTTTCTGATGCACGTGTGGACATCTGCTTCCCAAATGGGCTGGATTTTACCACAAAATGTTTTCACTTCTACTTAGCCGTAGGGATGCCATTTTATTCATCAACCGAATCCTCCAATCGAACCGTAACCGAACCGAATTCGATATAAAAACCTAACAACTATGATCTCTCTAAATCCGAAAAAATCAAATCAAATAAAAAAAATAACTGAAAACTTCAATTCTTTTTTAAAAACAAAGTTTCACCAATAAAATTCTAAATCCGAACTGAAATAAAACCGAATTCGAACCGAAATTGATATAAAAACGGACCAAAACCCGAAATAGCAACCCCTCGTTTCATTTCCGTTGTCACAGGAACCCAACTTTTAAAATCAGATTCAGATACCTCGCCCTAGATTAGAATCAGGATTATGGTTTGTTCTCCTGGCCTTCGATATCTCGCCCTCCCATCACAATCGCTCTGACACCTCATCTCATCCTCACTCCACGAGTATCCGAGCATTTGGGGCACACTGCGGATACCCAAACAGCTCAGGTCTAGCGACAGATCCTCAATTCCGGAACCGAGAAGCTCGGATTTGAGATCGGGTATCCAAAAAATTCCGGTTACCCGAGCCTGTCCAATCCTATCTATCTGTAATGTAGTTAGGGTGTGTATTCACACGTGGATTCGTATTGTAGATTGACACACCATACGTTATTCACGGATATTCAACAATTGTGAGTTTCGATTTAAGCCAAAAGATTGTGTTCACTTCCATATGACTTTGGCTTCACACAATCTTTTGTACGTGTTTTTTTGCTCATACAATCTATATTTGTGACACTTCTGCACCATCGAAAACCGAACCGGTTTTTATGGAAACCCAAACGCCGGTTATTGATCTTAAAGTATATGTGAAAGACCAAGACCAAACCGGACAACAAAGCAACTCTAGTCTTGCACAACATAGAAACGTTAGTGAAGAAGTGGACTGCTCACCAGTTAAAGACAGTTTTTGTTTCCGTTTTTCGAAGGCTTAGTGTTCTCCAATATGTGCAATACCACCTGCCTCATTCCTTGTCCTACACAATTTGAAACTCGGTTTTTTTTTTTAAATATCCCAAACAAGCAAACGATTTCGTGATTTATTCAAAGCAAAAAAAGCAATGAATCCTATGAGTTTAACTTCATTTCTTCGATAAATCTAAACCCTCTTAAAAGAACCTTAAAATTTCCGAGTTACTAAACTTTTAAACTTCTCGATCGATTGCCTATAATCCTACTTAAGTGGCTAAGCATCCTCTGCATTAGTTTCAGGCTCATCAGAAGGTTTAGAAAGATCAAGAACAGGTCAATGCCAGTTAGAGAAAGTGTGTATTGAGATTCAGACTTACTTGTGATCTGAGGGATTCGGCGTGATTTCGTAGACGATTGTTGCCACGACATCCCGTTTTAACTGTTTAGACAAGCGAAAAGAAACACGTAAAACAAATCATTTAGTTTATGATATCATATCGTTACAAGCAGTATCCGTGTCACCGGACCCACCCACCTGGGTTGCTTCACCTTTGAAACCGATATAGCGAATTTGAGTTGTGTCACCACCAAAACTGTCAGGGAAATGCAATGTGATGTTTCCAACACCCTGGAATTTCGAAAATCTGTTCCCAATAGCCAAAAGATTGTATCAGTTCCGAGTGCATTATTAGCCAACTACTTATAATTTTGACTAAGCAAACACACAATGGTGTAAATTCCAAAAGTTACTCTATTAATTGGTGAAGAAACAATGTTGTCTTGGACCCAAAGAAACTTGTAACGAACGAAATTTCGTGGAGGTGAAATAAGATATGTGGGTATTACCTGGTCTGGTATTCTAAGACTCCTTCCAAATTCTCAACTAAGTCCCACTCCTTCATCAAAATAAGGAATGTTTCCAATTAGTTCGATTGTTTGGAGTTTTGATATATAAAATAGTTACGAGGAAATACCTGAACAGCTTGCATGTTCTGCACATCCGAGAAGTCAATCCCCTCACGATTGGTGAACCTGGTTTAAGGAAACAATCAGATTTTTGTCTTTCTATGATTCCATTTGAACTGAAGAAAAGGTATGAAAAACTCATATGCATGTAAAAAGGAATTTTCTCGTGAAATTTAGACATACGCTCTCATCTTAGAAGGACTTGTTCCGTCAGGACCACCAATAATAGATATGCTCTTGATCTTGACATCTGAGGTGAATCTGAAAATGCAATAACATAACAGCCGGAAAACAGACCCATAAATGAGCTGTATCTCCATTCTGGCACATACATAGTGTAATCTATACCCATTTTTCCAAAGGCTCTATCAATTCAAAGGTTAGGATTCAGTTCACTTTTTAAAGAAAGCCACAGATACTTTATAGCGTAGAGTCAAATTTACATACGGTACAAAAACAAGTAATTCAGGATCTCCCTCATTGCTCTCCAAATGCTCCTGCACGCAAGCAGAACATAACAGTTGGTTTAGAGACATTAGCATACTGAAATCTCCTATGTAGATGTACAGTATACAATACAACATTTGGATAGTGGAATTACAAAACATAGGATAATTTGTTATTGAATTCAAGTTATATCAGAAAACACTTCACGCTAAATAGAATGGGCATTGCGGTGTCTTAGGACCCCATATCAATCAAGTAGAGGATTTGGTTGGTGGCTAAGAAATTGGTGATTCCATCCCCTGGAACCCGATTTCAAGTCTGGTCTTACCCATAGATTTGTCATAGATAGTTCCAGTATAGCACGGGTAGGGTGTTTATCAGCATACATGTGGTTAACATAAATTTCTATATAAAACCCAACAAGGAGACAATTCTTGCACAGAAGATGCAACAACAAAAGCACTTATTAAAGCCATACCGAAGACTGCAGACGCTGATCCCAAGCTTTGAAAACTGACTTCACACTTCCAGAAACAGCTTCATTTAGAGCAGATACCTGGAACAAAAGAAAGGCAGTATGCGTTCTGAGTAAATCTTGAGCAGAAAGCCGAAAAAGCCTGTATGCTTGTTAATGAACCATCAAAGTAAGCACCAGTCAATCACAACATGGTATTACAATAATCATGAAGCTTTCAGGGCCATTCACCTCTTGTTTACATGTGATTACTAATCATTTAAAAGGGAAATTACTGAAAACCAAACCCAAATGTAAGGGAGAAAAAAAACCACTGTCCTTTGAACAATTCTGGGCTTGCGGGATAGTTTCAGCTGGTCCTAAAGTTTGGGCGCTGAGATTTATACATAACAAGAGGGGTGAATTAAATAATTCTTCTAAACCATTTCAAATCTCATCACTACCTAAAAGTGGCCTCGCCATACAACTTGTTCGGACAAAGAATCCTCTAATACAGCAAGTGAAAAACCCTTTTCTTCGAGGATCGAATCCCAAAAAGTTGTCATAATACAACGCAACTCAAGCGATTGGACATCACATCATCGGAACGAAAAAACACAGCCGGATTCATTGATCTAACAAGAAGCGACTGGAACAGTCTCTGAATCTGAGCCCAACGCTATACATGACGCAAACCAATACAAAATCGCAGAGAACTGATGGCAGAAAAACACACAGAGAGAAAGAGAGACCTTGGAGAGATCAATGTGCTTATAGAGAGACCAATCGGAGGAACAATCATGATCCTCGCAGTTGTGATCGTGCGTGCAGGACATTATCAGCCTGATTTTCTCGCCCAACCAAACCGCCCCAGGGAAGCTTTGCGAAGAAAACGTGGGAACAAAATCATGGAAAAGAAAAATCGAGAAGCAGAACGATGGATTGGATACGACGCCGTTTTTATTCTTCACGAGAACGGCATCGTATTTGCGTTGTGTGTGACAAGTTCTTTTCTTTCTCGAGAGGGAAAAAAATATTTAATAAAAAAAAATGCGAATTTTGTTGATATAGACCCACATAAAACGTAAAAGAAAATGAAACTTAAATAGGGTTATAATATGTTTAGATACTTATAAAATGAAAAAAAAAAAGCGAAAAATGTAGATTTTAAAATGGAGATAACCAAGATTAGGTGATTTAATTGATACGTAAACAAACAAAACTCCTTTTCAATCTAGATTGAATATCATTTTGAAGAGGAGAATTCATTCGAACTTTTTTACGAAAGAGTTGGGTTAAAGGTGAAAATGTGGATCATAAAAATAATGGAGAGAATAAAATAAATAGGTGAACTTGGATTTATATGTACGGCACAGACACCAGATCACATGTTAATACAGTTTTAGGATGTTGCGTGTTGATTTGCTCCGATGCTAATAATCAACGACACAAGTTCCGTAAAATGATGCAACCCACTTCATGAAACAAGAAAACTATTTTTTTTTCCCAGAAATAAAACAGGATCAAGCGGCGGATAAGAGACCGTTGCAAAAGAAAATCAGCGATGGGGGGGTTGATCCAGAGCTTGCAATCGAATAAGAGAAGATTCGCTTTGCTTGATCATCATGCAATCCAACCTCATCAATGGCCTCCCTTTTCCCCACGTGGTCTTCAACTCCAGTCCGTCAATTCGGCGTCCACCTCGACAGCCGCCAGTTCGTCTAGAAGGTTTTGTAATTTGTCCCACATCGACAATTTCCAAAATAAATTTATGTTTATATACGAAACGAACGAGAGTTGGCATCTCCCTTGGCAAGGACGGGACCGACCCTTTGGGTCACCTTTGTGAGAACACAGTCGAGGCTTCGAAACCCAATTTTTCCCCCCTTTTTAATGTCCTACGGTACCAGACCGTGCGGACAGCAATAAATTTATGTAGAAAGAACAAATCCTAAAACAATTTTTTTGGCAAGTCATATTAAAACGCCGTCGTTCCTGGTCAAAATAAAACGCACCGTTTCGTACCCTCGCACAAACAAACGCCAAGTGGTGGAAGAGAGGATCGCTCTGTCCGAAGTGAAAAAGACGGAGACGGAGATACAGTCGGACGATGGAGGAAGACAGATCGGCGGCTGTCAGCGAGTGTATGTATTCTCTGAAACCGATGCGAGTGAACAACGAGGATATACTTATCTGCGTCGATGTGGACGCCGAATCGACGGTGGAGATGAAGACTACGGGGGCAAACGGGAGGCCATTGATGAGGCTGGATTGCATCAAGCAAGCCATTCTTCTCTTCGTCAATTGCAAGCTCTCGATCAACCCCGACCACCGATTTGCTTTTGCTACGCTCTCTAAATCCGCCGCTTGGGTCCGTTCTCTTCTTCCTGTTTATTTCTGGGTTGCTCCTGTGGAAAAATTTGGTTTCTTGTTGTGGATTAGGGTTCAAGAAGTGGGGTGATGCTCAAATTGGGTACTTTTTCGGATTTTGAGAACTGGGCTGCATCGTTTTATGGAACTTGGATCATGATTTGTGTTGGAGAAAATTCGGGTACTCCAATGGCATTATTGTTTTGCGATCCTGTTTACTGTTTATGCTATTGGAATGAACATTTGACGTATCTGTGGTAGAGAAGAAAAACAAATGTATTTCTAGTAGCTTTGGTTTTTGTGTATAGTTGTTAGGGCATGTGATTTTTTTTGGGTAACCCGTATCTGGACTAAGGCCTAGACTAATCCCGGGGGTCGGGAGTGATTTTGCAGTTCTTCCAAGAGGGAAGAAGGGTTTGTCTTGTCTGATTGTTAGATGCTTATATGTGTTGGTTTTGTCTTTCTCTTGTAAGGATGTTATAGTAACTAAAAGATCTTTAGGAACAAACCAGGGAAATTCACCTGGGAGTTTATGATGCAGAGTTATTTGCCACTTCTTCAGTTCTCTATTGCCTGAGAAATTTGCATCCGTATCATCAACTTGGCAATATCTCAGCCTCAGGAGCTCCTGTATGGAGTGGGCTAACCCTAAACCAATACTAATGCATTGTGTGGCTACTAGACATTGGGCTTGTTTGTGTAGACTGGCCACTCAGTTTCGCATTTAGGGCACTTGTTTAGTTGATGCGAAGTGGGTTCGTCTAAAAGGCCTTCTGATTCGTTTCGTTATTGCAAAATGTGTTTCTTGAACTTGCAGCATGCTTTAATTCGTTAGAAGTGACGAGCTTGTTACCTGTGTTTGCAAAGATATTCTTGTTCTGTTCGTAGGTTCTAGTCATCAGGAGAATCTTACTCAATGTCTCATCATATAACTTGCATGTACCGCTGTTCTGGCCATTATAACTGTCCTATACGTCTTCAAATTGTGAATTGTTTCCATCTAATTGGTCCCGAGGCATTTTCACTTTCAGCTTAAAAAGGACTTCACCAGTGATGTCGAGTCTGCTGTTGCTGCCCTACGAGGATTGTCTGCTACCTCATCCTGTGGTCGAGCAGATCTCACCTTTTTGTTCCGGGCAGCGGCTCACGAAGCCAAAAAATCCCGAGCCCAGAACCGAATCCTTAGAGTGGTAAAGTTGTGATATTGCAGACAAATAAATCTCCACAAAACATTAACCATTTCCTGAACAAGAAAAAGGAGAGATCCACTCATTGTTTGCTGTCCTCTTGTTTTCCCTGTCAGGTTCTCATATACTGCAGATCATCTGTGAAACCGACCCACGATTGGCCAGTGAACCAGAAGGTGTTCACGTTAGATGTCATGTACATGCACGATAAGCCGAGTCCGGACAACTGCCCTCAACAAGTGTACGACTCTCTTGTCGATGCCGTGGAACATGTCTCGGAGTACGAGGGTTACATCTTCGAGAGCGGGCAGGGGCTGGCTCGGTCTCTTTTCAAGCCAATGTCGGTTTTGTTATCGCATCCTCAGCAACGGTGCCCTCAGGATGCCCTCGACATTCCCAAATCCCTCACAAAGAAAGCACCTGCAGAGCCTGGAAACGTTGAAGATCACAATGGCAATAATGGCGGTAATAATAATAGTGCGATATCTGTATAAAGCCAATGAGGCGTCCCTGCTCGTGGAGTTGTTGCCATTTTGTTTTCTGTTTGCTTATATGTTTGCAGGGTTAGTGTATGAATGAATGTTTTTAATGTATAAATAGTTGTATCCATGTTGAACCCGTTCTTAAGGCTACATTATGTAAGATTATCTTTGAAGGTGGATTTTTTTACAAGTCTTCCTTTTCTTTTTTGGGAACGGAACAATCTTTGAACCCAATCTTTTGTCCGAAGATTAATTTGAATATGGAAGATTTAAATATGTCGTTTCATAGTTTCGGGGTAAAAAAAACATCTGTACGTGCATAATCGTGTGGTAATTAAAAAATTGTTTGGCATCATTTTCACTTTAAAATGGGGATTTAGAGTTTCTTTTGCAACCAATTCGGGTTATAGAGTTTCCTTAGATACAACTTGAAGCATAAGGTAAGTTTACCAAAAGATCTAATTTTTTTGTTGTAAAGAAATCATGTACGAAAGGGAGGCTTGATGCACCGGTTAAAATATTGCCGTTGTGATTTAGAGGTCACGGGTTCGAGTCCTTTTGTTGTAAAGAAATCATGTATGAAAGGGAGTCTTGACGTACCGGTTAAGATATTGCCGTTGTGATCTAGAGGTCACGGGTTCGAGTCTTGGAAACAGTCTCTTGTAGAAATATCTACAAAGTAAGATTTACCTACAATACACCTTTATAGCGGGACTCTTT